TTCCTTTTCAGATCGATCGACTCCGTAATGAGTACATGACGCCGTCATATACTTTTGCGACAGTCGTAGTCAGTAATCCTGGGAACTTCTCCGATCCAGAGAATGTACAGGGACTTTTCGAGATGAAGAACGCCTTTGAAAGTTTGCCGCACGCTATTGGACCAGAGAGCACCAAGTTTGTACTGAGGTAAAGATTGTTGACGGATTTTCTTTGTAGTGGCGTGAAACGAAGGGAAGTCATTGAATAACTGGTAGAGCGATGGAGATTGAGGGGTAGCTGACCCTGGTAACATCTACGGGACGTAACGATAGAGGCCAAAATCTATGAAGGCCTTCATTTTCGACAGTGGGTTGCCACACCATGAAAGGCTGTAGCTTCACAGCATTTCGAACGGATTCGATTTCTTTTACAATCGACCATAGACCGTGGCTCAATTAACCTTGAAACTTCCCAAGATGATCGAGCGCTCGGCGAATAGGCGGAGACCACTTTCTGATTGCCCTCCTTCCAACACGGTGGAGGTAAAGGGCACATCCATGATGAAGCACAAGCAGTACCCACACATTTCTCCGCTCGTCCGATTACGACAAAATATGTTTCTAAACGTGACCGAGGTGGACGTGGCCTTAGTTGCTGTGGTATTGTGAATAGTCTTGTTTCTCCAGTGTTCACAAAGGGTCATTCAGCGAGTACCTCAACTACAAAGAGGCCATTCAAGAGGAAATGGGAGAAGATCCAAGTATTGCATCTCTGGATGAATTTCTTAATTGGCCGGAATACTCGTACTACAATGGTTTCATCAAACGAGGGAACACTTCGTAAGTATTTAAACATTACCTTCATAAAGGTTTCTTTTAAATTTGGCCACGAATTCAACAAGCAGCTTAGCTACTTTGCAAAAAGGCATGTTGCGCATGGAACGTACCAGTGGAGCTTATACGGCAGAACGATAACTGCACACTCACTTTGGTCACATCTCGGTCCTCTAATCTTCAGATTTCGTTGAGCTCACGTGTCTAGTATCCCGGGCAAGCAGTTACACTGAAAAGACAGGATCATAGAAACAAATCATAAACTATGACTAAGTAGCAAGCTCCGAAAAGCTGGTGTTTTTGAGCGTCAGAGTCGGCAGTCATCAGGAAACTGTACACAAGTGAATCGCCCTAGGAAATCATCCACCGTTTGCAAAAATGCGAACACTGTAGGCACTCTTGATGTGGTCGGCAATAGCGTAACCTTCTTACAACGGTTCTGACCATGAATAGAGGCCTGTTTTTGCTGACAGAAGATCATTTCAAGAATAGTCTGTAGAGTTTCATTCATGTTGCTTCACTCTGCAACGCAATTTTTGATGCGAGGCGTGGGGGAGAGTGATTTCATTCGCTCCCCTCTCTTCGTTTCCTATTTGTCACAATTCGGCGCTGTAGAAACATGTGGATTACAGGCGATCAGATGACATTGCGCAGTTCATGTTCATCACTGCCTATCGCGGGCAAGATCTGGTGCAGTGGCATGAAAGAGGGCGCATGCTGAGTTTATGGCGAAGTCAAGTGGATAGCTTCAAGTAAGTTTTCCTTGTAGCATATGGGGAAACAAGATTATTTTTGGCCATCTGTAACTCGCGGAAATCTGCATAAACAATATCAACTACCACTGATACAGTATGAATGATGCAGTACTGCAGCGTTGATCAAGTTTGCGGCCTACTAACGCACCACACACTCGCATAGCGTGCGTGCGGTAAACAAGATAGTATCCAAAAGACGTTGCCTAGATAGAAACACACCTACAAAATTTATTTCGTGCCTACTTAAAACTTGAATATTTACACAGTAATAAATAAAAGATCAACACCATAAATGCGAACATGGCAAGTGATTATCAGTCATGAGTTAAGTGAACAACAAAAAGAAATCTTGGATACCCGTGGCAGAAATCTTTGGTTTACTCTTCTCTCTGCATGTGCTGTGAATCGTTTTTTGCAAATTTTTTGCATCGAAGAACAGCATTTGTTGAGTGCCGGAGTGGAACTCGAATTCAGTCAACGCGTCCGAAATGTGATCTAGCCTCACTGCAGTCAGCGCTAACCAAAAACTTGATCAAAATGTGGATCCACAGTAAATCGAATTGTGACCTTACCACTGTCTTGCCGCAGTCGCATTCTCACAAAGAAGACGATCCTCACAGAATAACGTGCACAACTGGAAGTTATTAGAAGCGTGACACGACGGCACATTGCAAAATGAAACAAATCTGACGTTTTTGCTTCGCCTCTGAAAAATTATCGTCGACGCGCGCAAAATCACTCGCTCCTCCCTCATTTATAGAAAGGAGCGCACTAAGAAGTAGGGCACAACTAGCGCAAACTGGGCATATTCGCATATGACATATCCGCATTTCCGGCTTGCAGGCTGCGATGCAAAACCGAAGTATGCAAGTCAGTTGACTTATTAGTGGACGAAAATGCAAAAGAGACCGCTAGGGATGCTCTGAATAAGACTCCTTGAGTGTCGGGCAGATTACAAGCAAACGGAAAAAGTGCTCTGGTTACATTGGAATCCGCTCTCTTCCCCCCCCCCTCCCATCACGCTACTTTACCCAATGCAATTCCTACCCTTTGCTATTCTGGCTCATTAACTTGAGCCCTTGATTTTTACGACAGGTACATATGAGCGTGGGCAGACCTAGCTGATGTTGTGCATGGACTCAAAGAAGTCCACAAGCTTGCAGCTCGCTGCGTCATTTCGGAGCGCAGAGAACAATAATAAAATTTGCAGTTCCGTTTTCTGTTACCTCACACGCAACCGCAACTCTGGTTCAGCTAACCGCGGAATGTGTTTTGAAAGGCAAGGACACGACAAATTGATCGCTGCCAGTAAACCGATTTAAAGGCACTAAATGGTAGACAGTGAAGCAAAAACGAGACGAAACGGCCGAGAACGCTCGAAAGGTTGCCCTTGTCACCCGACTTATAAGTGGACGAGCATACGCCTAAGAACGAGCATCGTTGGTCAGCGCAGAAAAAAAAGCGAATATCAAGTAGTGTTATTACCATAAATAACGGCACAGTTATTCTTTTAGCGCTGTTTGAAGAACTGGGAATAAACGTAGGAAATATCAAAAAGCGTAAAGTCTAAATCTCTAGAAATGGGTAGTTCTTGCAGAAAACTTTGTTGCGTGCCTAGGAAAGATTTCCGTTACCAAAAGGAACACACAGGAGAAACGCTAAGAAGTTGGAAGCACCATTTGACGGCAACTTACAAATGTAAACTACTGATCAAATGCTGACTGTTGCTGTCATTTGTGAGCGTGAGGGTTTCAAGAAGGAAAGGCGATCTACATGTTGAGCCTTGAAGAAACTTCAGAGGCGAACTCCTTTGAAAAATGCGGATGGCACCGCCTGGGACACGGTATTTTTTCCACTGCGGATGTTCGCCCTACAGTAGATTTATCGTGTCCACTGATTTTGAGAAAATCGAAGCATTTTTCTTCGGTGTCTATTCAAAAATGTTCTTTATATTGTAATGTTACACTGTCGTTTGTCAGTGCCTTTACAGCTTCTAAATAATTGCTCATAGAATTCTGCAAATGAGACCTGCATTTCAGACAGTACAACGCATCCGTTTTTTCTGAGGACGGTTTCTTGGTCGACTTGCTCGAGGTATGTGGAACATTTCGATCTCGAAACAAGTTTTTGCACATGTGTTTGGCAATGTAGTCAATCACTCGATTGATTACCAGTTGAAAGTTCTATCATGCCTCATCAATACTGGTGCAATCAAGCATTTCACACTTCAGCGAATACCGCTACCCCAGTAAATGATGGTATGTTATGCCAGACCTCTGAAAGTTTTGAGCGTTCCCTCAGAGATCAGCGATGTTGTTGTCCTGATGAAGATGTTTTGATGGCCAGAGGGTACCACAGGGAACTTACCGCTGACGCTTGCTGAGTGTTGTCACGGCGATATCGTGGCGAAGATGGCGCATGCTCGTCACGGCATTCTGAGAACAAAGGACTCTCTAGCAGTTTTCTCCTATATGACTAGGACGGTAGAAAAGTGGAAAGGGTCAAACGATGAATAGCTGAGAATACTAGGGCATAGAAGTACGGCGAAAAACATATATAGCAACGGGCTGGCCGGAGCGGTTGTCAGTCCTGAATTGACCACTAGGCGTGCGTAGAGTTAGCGCCATCGCATGACCATGCAATATCTCTCACACTCACCACATCTCCGAAAAGTTCTAGGATAGTATTCCAGCAAGTTTAAGAATAATAGTTACTCATCTATAATCACAACTGAAATAATGTCGGAATCTTTAGGCGCTTCCGACCATGACATGGCAAACAGGGCTGGCTACCTTCATATGTGTAATAATCATATGTGCTATGTTCATCAATCATCCGGCTACCATTCTATTTGTATCAATCTCAATCCTTGCCATTTGTACAGGTACGATTTGCTTTCCAAAGTCTTTCCAATTTGCTTAATTGTGATTGCGCCCTCGCCCGGTAAGCGTAACTTTCGGGATCGGAGTTTGCAGGGCGTACTGTAGCGATTCCATATCAAGCCACATAGGTCCATGCCGCGCATGTGATGTCGCTTTCATCGCATTGTCACAGTGAGGATCGCCTGACCCACATTCATCTGCTGACTTTAATCTTGACGTTTGAGGAACAACTGGAGCATTGAAGACATGATTGATGGATAAACACAAGGATTCTAACCTTTCTTTGATCCGCAGATTATATAGAATTGCCAAGATTGTTAAAGTTGATCACGTACCAAGTACGCCGTGCATTGGGACGAAATCGAGAGCGATTCAAAGACATGCCAGGTGTATGAATAGCAACATAAGACAATTTTCTTATCAACTACCCTAAAAAGGCGATGATTCTCGTTGACGTTGGGAATTTTGATTCACGTCAATTTGGAGGCAACATAACTTTTTGTAGCCTCCCAGTCCTTTCGTGACTATTGTCCCATCGTCTTTTGATTTGAATCTGCAATGCTGTAACAATCCTGTTTGTCTGCAAAACTTTTTAAATCGAGTTTCAGGAGTGTTCGGTTATATGTCCCTCTTTGGTGTGACACTCGATCCCATAGTGATGTCCATTTCGATTATGTGCGTTGGCTTCAGTGTCGATATACCGGCTCATGTGTCATTCCATTTCCATGCGTCAAGTGAGTTTTTTTTCCACAACCAGTAGACCTGAGCCCTTCCCGCTGTGCAATGTACGCACGCTCATCACACTAGGCACATTAGATCGGGACTGGCGTGTTGTAATTGTACTTTTGGGACTTCTGCCCTACCTAGTGCCCTTGATTGCTCACATTCATGATAACCGTAATTTCTCCTTTCATAGGTTTGTTATACTAATCGCTTCACTGATCCTTCAGCTTTATCACCACATTACACCACGCATCGTATATGGAATTCAATCCCCCTCCTCCTGTATTAAAGGCCTTGTTGAGGAGAGGGCAATGCCATACAGTGGTTCGTCCGGATCGGAAACAAAACGGACCACCTCTTTTTCATCATAACCACCCCGTCACCATTTTGATTTTTTCTCACGTGTATGCGACACCAGGTAAGTGCCCCGTGGTGATCCGCATGCTGATCTCCTCGACCCATCTCTCTTCATCTCATTAGCGCCAATGTAAGTAGCTCGGGTGGGAGGGCTACCAGACTACCTCATCCTTGTGCATGGTGTTTCGAAAGCCTGAATACAGACAGCAAGGCAGCGAAAGACGGAAAAATGTGTGGCCAGCCAGAGTTGGGGTTTTTCAAGGGGAGTGGACTAACGGCTGGTGACTCACCACTTATCCTAAGTGGAAACGTGGAATGTGTGAGGTCACATTGCTGAACGCCGCGAGGCAATAGAGTGCATAGAAGGGCAGAACTGAGGAGTGGACTGAGAACGACTCGAATCTAACCATCCATGAAACCTGCCGAATCGGGTCTACTTGAAAGCGCTTACTGACGAAATCATTCGTCATTTCTTCAGGAACACATGTGATGAACGATCAACTTGCCCATCATAGTAATAAATGTGAGAAGTTTCTTAGTCCCGGGGATGATGCAACGTAACTTCAAATTCGAGTGAGTGTCGAGAGAGAGATAATCACCCAGAGGAAAAGTTAACGAGAAGGAGGCAAAATCCTCATGCAGCTACGTGAACGTCCAATAGTCTTAGCTATTGAAAGTTCAACTTTTTACGAGTCACTTACAAACCACTCATTTCAAGCAAAAAAGAAACTCGCGGAAGGTCGAAGGCTCTCGTACGGATGTCTCAGCAATCTTCACAATCAGCTCGTTGGGATGCCAGAGACCGTCTCGAAGCCTACATCACGACCGGACCATGCAACCACTAACGTCTTTGCTCTCCAAAGAGCGACCATTTTTATTGTGGTGTCAAACACAATATTCATGGTAATTTATCGCAGTTTTCATCAGCAAATTTAACCTTCCGTGGGCAGGGCGATGAATTTGCATCTAAGAAACAGCGGGAGAAATGATCAGAAAATAGGGGACAATAAAATTATTCGTCTCGATAAGTGCCAGCGAAGCTGTATAATCGTTCCGAAGGTTTTTGCTGCACTACCGACCAACAACCCTTGCTACACATAATTCTGCTAAGTATTGTCCTAAATGTTGTCCTGTTTTGGTCTCAGGGAATTTGATACAGACATGATTGAGATTTCAGATTGATAAATGTAAAAGGTGAAAGCTTGGCGGAAAATAATACCGACAGTTAACGGAATAGTCATACAGCGACCGATAAAGGGGAAACGATGCGCTAGCGGCAAGCGGGAGCTCAGCAGCGCGCGCCCGAGATAATAGGAGAGTGTGCACAAGAGGATTGCAACGGAGAATCGATGGGGGAATTAGTGGTGAGTAAAAAGAAAGTGACAGCAAGCCAATCTGTCACGTAACTTTGTCGAAAGGCGTTAAGTCGATGGCAGGGGTCATCAGATTGAACATCAAGTTCAATAAAGTCGAAGGCGTTAGTACACTTACATCAATGGAGCTAGGGATTGTATTCTAATCAATGACAAAAAAAGTGGAGGGCGTCAATAATTGGCGGCTGATGAGACAGGAAAGAGATATATATTATATATCTGGGGCAACCAATGGCCAAGTTCATACTGCAAAATATGCTTCACCTCTTACGGAAACAACACCTCTTAAGCAGCTCTAATATCAGACGCTGAGTAATTGATGCGCAGCTCATCCCCACTCCTTTATCTGTGGGGACGTGATATTTCCGACTCGAACCGCTAAGATCCAGCTGGATGCGCAAGGCTGCATGGTGGACGTTTGGGGAGTTGCGACGTGCAACCAGCAAGCATCCAAACTGATGCATGAGGTTAAAGGATCGCAACATTCCCGTACCACTTTAAGACGGTCAGTTGTTCCATTTGAAGGGTCCAGTTTGTTTGTTTGTTCCAACGCTGGAGTGCATGCAGGCGTAAGGCTCTCCTGTGGAAGGGGATGCATGAAACCGCAGCGAGCTTCGGCAGCAAGTACACATGGAATTGTGAAGGCGCATAGGCGGCTGATTTGACAGCCTTCTCAGACTTTCCCATTGGTTGTGAGCGTAATGTTGCCATCAGCTTAGAGAAAAGAACGTATAGAGGGAAAGATTCTGGCATCACCAGGACAGGATACGGCGCAGATGGTACATGGTCTAAAATTCAAGCACATTTCGTTCTACAAGGAACAGTCATTACGTTAACTACTAAGACGCTAAATGAACCATTCTGGCACTCTTAGCTACGAGGAACTAGTACTAAAGTGCATACTGTAGGAGAATTACATGAGTGCATATCAAAAGGCAATACTTGGTAAACAGCGAGCAGTAATGGGAACATTAAGTAGAAGTGTGAGTGTGGGTGAATTGATCAACGAACAATGAGCTGTCGAACGGTGCAGCAGTACAGCGTACAGGGTGGGAAAACATACTAGTGCGACACTATTTATGTGAAAACAACAGGCGGAAGGACAGTATTGGCATGTTGGGTTATACCAAGGGTATTATATCGTCGAGTCTACCTCTAGCATCTGGAAAGCACATACCTTTCGGTCACATTATTACATTTGTAAACTTTTCGGTTACATTATTACATTTGTAACATGACCACAACAGTTTCCCACTCAAAAAGTGTAGAGTGTTGGATAAGGTAGATGTGCATAAGGGTACACGCTATTGATCAGGATTTCACGATCAGTGCCGAATGAAACAATACAGAGGACAAAATATGTTGATAACAATTTACGCTGCGGCAGGGCACACATTATGAAACGCTATTGAGGCGGGTACTGGTTCTTGCAGGCATCGATTCTAGATGGTGTATCAGGGGATTTATGAGTGAATATGGTATGTTTCCAGGTTCAACATACGCTTATGTTCTGGGATTGTCCACAGGTGATTCAAGCAGGTTTCATCAACACAACTCCTACTGTGACGGCTTCCCGCGGTGGACTTAATTCTTCGCCGTTATACAGTCCACTCATAGTGTCTCTCTTTCTTTCCAGCCGTTTACCGCCTAAGTAGTAAAATGCCTAGAATATCGTGTGTCTTTGTAAAGTAAAAAGGGTTACGAAGTCTTTGTTAAGAGTGTTTCATTTGTTTACATCAGTGGGTGTGATTGTTCAAATCTGCCTGGGTACACACTACGAAGAACAAGAGAGAGAGAGAGAGAGAGAGAGAGAGAGAGAGAGAAGAGAGAGAGAGAGAGAGAGAGAGAGGGGGGAGAGAGAGAGAAGAGAGAGACTTGACACAGATGACAGAGATGGAGGCGCACAGCGATCACGTCCCTTTCGGGGCGGAGATCACGTTGATATGTGACGACTGCTAGCGTGAGTGCCCATCGCATTTTCTAGACAACTGTGAGCAGAACTGCTGATTCACTTGTGCTTTTTTAAGAAAAGTATGATATGGAGTATTTCCAGGTATTCTCCGTGGCGATGTTTATGTGCATATCATTCTCTATGACCCACGGTCTTTTAATTCTCCCCGCCATGTTCTGCCTGTACGACCGAGTCCTCGTCGCCGTCAGGACGTGGATCTCAGCTGATCGGAGAAAGATTCGTTGTGTACCAGCGTAGAGCTGGCAAATTCCCATGCCCTCATGTCTGTACGGGTTCTTTGTGTGATAGGTCTACTCATCTTTTGTTTTTTTCTTCATTTCCCATCAAGTCCTTCTTCAGGATAGTCCGCTAACAAGTCTCGTTTTTAAATTATAGTTCGAGCAGAGATTGTTAGAGGCATGACTGAACTCATCGATTTCGCAATTAGATCCAATTCAGAACTCAACTGATCGACAATGAGTGTGCGTGCGTGCGCGAGAGCTGTCAAATAAGGTCATTGATCGATATGTCTCACTTGGCCGCGAGCGCAGAACGCTCGCGACCGCACGCCTTTGTTTCAATTGAGTTCTGAATGCCGTTGATTGTCGTCATAAACTGCATAATAACTGACGTACAGCGCCTCCAGCTTGATCAAGTTTTTTCAATATCACTTTGCTTCCTTTACGATCGATAGCGGCTTGTTCATCCTCATTTTTTAAATTTATAATTTTTAATCTGTGACTAATGGTGAGCGGTATTTCATAAATTTGGAACAATAGAGATTTTCAGGATAATGCTTTCATTTGCTGGCAAACAGCAATATTCGACGATGATTTTAGGCAAGTGTCGTGGTGCGGTGAGGGCAGGGACAATAAGCAGCATCGGCTCCTGGGGCTCCATTAGCTCCTGGTGCTCCAGGGGCACCAGGTTGACCATTTTCTCCATCTCTACCCGGTGCTCCAGGGGGGCCAGCGGGTCCTGGTGCACCGCCGCCATCGCTTGAACCATTCTGAAAAAGAACCTCCTAGTGTTACATTTTTATATTATAGAGAACATGATTGAACACGAAATTTACAAACCTGTCCATTGGGTCCGGGAGGTCCAACTGGTCCTGGTGCTCCCGCAGGTCCCGGACTATTGATCTGTCTCGTTCCCGGAGCTCCATCTTGTCCTGGTGCTCCAGGTGCTCCAGGATGACCGTCAGCACCTGGAGCTCCAGCAGGACCAGGTGCTCCTGCTGCACCAGTGCCTCCTCCAATTCCGTCTGCTCCTGGATTACCTGGTTGTCCACGAGGTCCAGCCGAACCATCGGGTCCAGGAGCTCCAGGGGGCCCAGCCGGGCATCTTATACATGACTTTGTTATATCATGCTGTTCAGCCTGTCCAGGGTGACCACCTCCTCCGTCTCGACCAGGAGTACCTGGTTCACCATCAAGTCCAGGCAGTCCAGGTGGACCAGGAGGTCCACGAGGGCAATCGGTAGCCGCTGGGGCACACTGGCATTGAGCTTCTGAAAATGAATGAAATGTGAAGTTCATGATGCTTACAGAAATCATTTATGCTCACCGACATACTGCCTTTTAGCTCTGGTGATTATGTTTTCAAAGATGACAGGTCGGTCACCTTTGCTCATCATCATCTGGCCCCATGCATCATCAGCCATTTCCTCAACACGAATTGATGGGTATTGTTTCAGCAAAGATGGGGGGAGGGGCATTAGGCTTGGTGGGGGCACCGAATGGTACTTAGCTATGCTTGTACAGGCCGCCTTGTGAATACCTGTGGCCAAAGTGGCCAACCAAACAATTTTGCAGTTTCACAGGGGTTTACAGGTCTGACCAAAGTGGGACATGTTAGTTAACAAGAACCAACGGAACCATCAATCAGCTGTGCAGAAAACCCCCTCCAAGCCGAGCAGCGCCAATGATGGTGCAAGAAGCTCACCTTGAACTCCTGCAGGTCCATGCGAATTTCATCCTGGAAATTGGTGATGTCATAAAACATCGAGACGGTGGAAGCAATTGCTGTCAAAGCAGCAATTGCTGCTGATGCCGAAACCACATGCAGTACAGTATGCAAGTAAAGCATAGCTGGTGGTTATCACTAGCTGATGCTTGGCTGACGAGCTTATATGGGCGCTCAGTAAACTGGTATCACAAATTGGCGCTGACGATAACAGCTGACAGCCTGCTACCACCGCTTTATGCATCATAACTGGTATTGACAGCAAACCGCTAGTTATAGCGCGGTTAACGCTGATTCAAGCGCTAGAAAAGCAGGTTTTTACTTTGAAGATCCATTAGAGGCCTTCTGTACAGAATCAAAGTAATTCGATTAAATAGTGTCCACACAACCAGGGTCAAGCACTGCCGGGGAAGGTTTTAGCGCTGCCAGGCATTACGTTGAGGAAAGTACTTCGATTAATTACTCCACCACTGCTGCACGTGCCGGAATTCTGGCCAGATTTCGACTGAACTTTTCAGCTAGAGGCAAACTTGGCTAGAACCAAGACTCGAAACTTAGCAACGCCTGCGCCAAAGGAAATTTAACAGCGCCTGTGAGGCGAACTCCAGGCGATTTTCAGCCCAACGGTTGTAGTGGTCATGCTTATAAGGTTAAACCATCCCGGGGACTAGACATGTACCGCTTGTACCTCTTGGAAGGATTTTCGACCACAGTATGGCCTGAAGTCGAATCGTACTGTAGCAGAGGGTTAACAGTGTACAATTTTTGCATGACACGGAAAGACCTGGCAAGAAAGTGCTGTTGAGCTCTGGATGAGGTATAAAAAGGTTTCCCAAGCGCAAACTTGACCCTGCTCGCATCTTCTGCTCAGCGCCAAGGGTCCTGGACTTTCTGACAATCAGGTCATGCACAGTCCTGTTCCCTGCGAACAGGGGGCGTCCGCGGGCTGAGTTCAGCGCGGCGCCAGCCTGTTCTCCTCCAGTTGTGGAGTTAGCACACGACCAAAGCTGCTGGAGAACAGGTTGGTGCTGCGCTGGATTACTACTCTTGGATTTCGAAGACGCTGAAACGTTGGCCTAATAAAGTATTTCAACCTTGCCGAGGCTCGAAGAAACCACATAGAGTACTCTGGATTCGTTGACGGGTGCCGGTTGAGAAATCTACGGTATGACGAGCTGAAGACTAGATGGATTTGATTAGAAAAGCATTTTATCTTGGACGTGTTTCCTTGTCTGTGGACGACTTCACAACAGTTGTGGTCATTTTCTGAGTTTCGGTTGGGATGTGAACGTTTCGGCGACGGTGCGAAACCGGTGCTGTGAGCATCGTCGGGTGAATCGCGTCCGCGTCAGGACCCAACTAATTCAACTTTGCATTGCTTCACACTGTCGAGTCAACTAGCTAGGAACACTTGTTTTCGCACGTCGCCTCAATGCGCATCTCCCAATCGCACTCGTAACGGATAAGGTCCCCCTGCTATGGGCAAAACTTGAGTAGATGAGTTTGATCATTTTTCACGATGAGCCTCACTCAATGGGTACAGCTTCAGAGAACCAAGACCAGATCGATCGGGTAGATCAAAGCCACAATCGGACGGGCGGTTGATGATTCCGCACATGCGATTACGCGACAACCGGGAAGGCGGAAGCACCAGCCGAGACGCTGAAGGCGTAGGGTTGATTGTCTCGGCGCTGACGTATACTCGAAATCCCTGAAATCGGGTAGGCGTGGCTGCGTACTTGATTTTTAAATGGCGGCGGCCCAGGTTTTCGTGAGATATTGTCATTTTGGAGCAGTCGTAATCATGTCTACATCTAACACAGAACAAGATAGCAGTTGTTTCAAATTGAAGTATCCCACGAGTAACCCGTCCTATGCGAAAGGCAAAGCCACGCCCATAGGGATAAAGAGTACAGTTGAATGGGGCTAAGCGAAAGCGTCTCTGCACGCCTTCCCCTCAAATTACCCTCGCAGAACAGAGTCTATATGCGACTCCCACATCTGCGCCCTCTGCAAATTCGTCAGCTAGGGAGAGCCACACGAACGGTGCACGCTATGGCGCCTGCTTGACTACGTTAGCACGAGTGTCTATGCGAGGCAGCCACGGGAATGGCACTAAAGACAGCTCCCGCGATAAAAGTGTCAAGGATAATTGCTGATCAATTATGAAACAGTAGCTGATGAGTAATTCCTCAATGAAAAAAAAGAAACAAGAGCCCTCAAGAACACTGTAAACAAAATCACGCCCTGACAGTCACACCTCCTGCTGGCGGTCTCGTGCAAGCCGCTGGGCTCACTATATCACTTTGTCAGGCATCTCCGGTCAGCAGTGATATCAATCCGAATGCGAAGAAAAGAAAACAAAAAACAACAGAAACATAGAGGAAAAACTCTTGAAAAGAAAAGGAAACATTTAAAAAGCCGGCGTCCGAACTTAGGGTTACGGTAGCGAGCATGTTTTAGTGTAGTGAAGTGCGTCGAGCTTTTGCACCACAGAAATTGCATCATTCGTGATTTTTACGCGTTTCCTTACGAGATGGGTTGCTGTTGACTGTACGTGCTCCCAATGAATAAAATGTATGTGATGAAGGAGATGGCAGAATTATTTACAGAGATCACGAGCAGCGTACAGCAAAATAGCATGCATTCGATTAACCAGACTGCCGTCCCAACAAGAACACTAGCGCTATCGCGAGGGCAGCTAGCTAGTGAGGGGTCGTTCAACTGAGCAGGCGTTAGAACTAGAACTTTGAGCGGTTCTAGCTCGCTCCTCGCTCGCTGAGGAGTCGCGAGAGTGAGATAGTATCTAGCTTGGGGGCTGAACTACCTGCCCAAGGAAGGACGACCATGTACTACTTGAGCGCGGGGCTGTCTTTAACTTTTCATAAAGTGCCAGGAAAAGATCCAATCACACTGGACATGATATGCCGCAAACTGTTATGTATGGGCTTTGTCTATATTTATTCTGAACAAACTGAATAAATTAATTCATCTGCAACACTTGGCAACACCACTGAAAATGAGGAATACAATGAAATCTGAAACCAATACCATTAATAACGCAGAAAATCTGTCCTAAAT